CACCACACTGGGCTCCCCTGCCGGCTATGCCAAGAGCAGGGACGTGCTGGCAGGGAAGATGCTGCTGCAGCGGCTCCTCCAGCTGGGATTTTCTTTGCTTTTCCTAATGGCTCCTTCCTGCGACAGCCGCCTCCTCCCACTGCCAGGAGCACGTGGCTGCAATGCTGGCTCGGCAGCTGCCGCAGGCTGTGGTTGGGGGGGGCAGGGGCTGCGCTCTGGTACAGCTGTGCTGGGTGGGGACCCCACGCATCCCTGGGGATGTGGTCATGGCCTGGGCTGGCAGCGTCTGCAAGAGCTGTACTGGGCTCGGCAGCAACCGCTGCTTGGAGCAGCCCCTGCAGTCCCCCATGACCCCCACTCCCCAGGGACTCTGGATTTGTGGCCCCTCTGATCCTTCCCTGCCGGTGGGGTGCTGGCAGCAGCAGAGCACCCGCTGCTTGAGGCTCTGCCTCCCTGTTTTGGGGCTGCCGGTTCCCCCAGTCACAGGCTACCCCGTGCCTGCCCCTTGCTGTCAGGCTGGACTGAGCTGTAGCCAAGGGAAGGACATCCCCCTCCCTTGTCCTGGCATCCCCTGGGGGTGCCTCGGAGTAGGTGCCCGGCCCTGCTGCTGGAGCTGCTGGTGGCCCTGGCTCAGCCGTGGGGATCGGCACTGCAGCGCAGGGAGAGGTGTGTCCCTGGGCCCTTTGCAGGGATGCTTCATGTCCCCCCAGCCCAGTCCCTGGGGACCCCTCGAGGCCCCCCGCGATGGTCAACCATCAGCAGTGTAGATGTGTCGGTGTGTAGCGGTAGCTGTGCGTGTGTGTTGGCATTAGCCACGGTGTTTCGGTACCCCCGTGCGGGTGTCAGCCTGCGGAGCCAGGCGGGCATCACGCATCAGACACGTGTACCCTGGATAGAGCGCGTCCTCTTCTCTGCATCCCCTCCCTCCCCGGCCTTCCCCACCGGATCCAGTCCCGCCCCCAAAGGTGGAAAAGCCAAATAAGCGCCGGGACAGCCGTGATTCTGGCAGCCTGCTCTCGCCTCACCGCCGCCTCGGGGGGATTTTGCCTTCCCACCCCCTGGGCAGCCCCGCGCCAGGAGCATCTGAAGCCCCCTCCCATGTGTGAGCCGGGTTTGGGGTTCCTGTGGGGTCCGGCGGCCCCAGAGCCCTCTAACACACACGGATCTCACCCAGCACCTCGGTGCCTTCTTGGGGTGTACAGCCACCCCATGCTGTGGCCAGGGCTTCTCAGAGAGGGCACTGAGGCTGACAGTCACCTGCCCTCTGTCCCTGTCCATGGGAAGCCAAAGCCCCCCGGTACCAGCAAGGCCTGAGGCCACACTGAGGGTCTCGCATCACACGTGTGCTTTGCTGACCCTGGAGCTCAGGGCTCAGCTTCCGTTCCTTGGGGGCGCACCTGGGTCCCAGTGGTCCCCTACGTGCTGTGCATCACCCTTGAGCCAGGGTGATCCCTCCACAGACTGTCAGGCGAAATATTTCCTCAGGAGCAGGTTCTGGGTCAGTGCCAGAACCGGAGCCAGTGCCGGGGTCTCCTGCCCTGGCTGCAAGCACAACATCATCCGCTTTGTCCCCGTCCTCACCCCTGTCCCCCTCCTCGAGTCTCGCCGGGTGTGTTTGTCAGGGAGAACCGTCGTGGACAGTGGTGGATTTTCTGTGCCGTGTGGTTGTAGTGCTTAGAGACCCCTCCCAGCGTGCGGCCCCCTCCCGCTGCGCCCCCGCTGCCCGGTGCTGGCTGGCATGCGTGTGCGAGCGTGTGTGCGTGCGCGTGCGACATCCCGTCATCACTCCAGACAAAGCGAATAATAATAATAATAGTAATAATAAATAATAAAAATAAACCAAACCTCTCTCAGGAAGCAGCTGCCCTGGTGGCGGCCGAGTGGGCCGGGGGTCCCCGGAGCTGGTGGGGCCCCGACGCAGCCTGCGGATGGGCGCCAGCGCTCGGGGTCACCTTTGTAGTGTTGTGTTAGTGAAGGGTCCCTGTGTCTGTTATCTTGGAGAAACAGGATTTTAGCCGAGGGGCAGTGACGACCCCATCTGGGTCCATCTTGGGGGCGTGACACAGCTGGCCCTTGCTCTGCAGAACCTCGGCTAACAATGATCCTGACTGTTGTGATTATGGAATAAAGTGTATTGGTCTGCTCCCCATGGCTCTGGCTCCTTCTGTGCTGTCTCGCTCCTCCCAGGAGAATTTGGGGTTCCCAGGGCAATGTGAGGTGCCCAGGGAGATGTGGGATTCCCAATGGCCAGCATCCAGCTCCCAGGCATACAACTTCCCATCCTGAGCCCTGGTTCCTATGGGCTCTCCTGCAGCAGGGAGGTTCACCCTCATCAGTCAGTGTGGGCTGGGCGTCCCTGGAAGCAGTGTGAGCATGTGCGTGTATGTGCACGTATGTGCTGTGCATATGCAGCCCCTCGCCCCACCCGTGTGCGTGTGTGGGCAATCCCGGCACCGCCCCCGACTCCGTTCAGCCGGGGGAGGGGACCGAGGGTAATCAGGGGGGGAACTAGAGAGGGAGGGAACCGGGGGTGCTAATCCAGACCCACAGGAGGGCCGGGGGGGCCAAGGGGTCACGCGCCACTTGCATCACACCCAGACCCCCGCCCCCCGTCTCACCGCAGCTGTTGCCACGGCAACAAGAGGAGCCCAGAGCATCCCCGGGTACTGCCAGCCCCTCCTGCTGCCCCGGCGCTGCTGGGGCCGGGCTGTCCCCGAGGGAGGGAGAACTGCAGGGGGTGTCCATACCACGGTGACCCCCCAAATCTGCAGGCTGCAGCCACGGGACAGCCCCCAGCACCGCCTGGGGCCTGGGCGGTACCACAGGGACTGCAATCTTCCAGTGTGGCATCACTGCAGCCCCCGGCAATGGGATTCCTCTCTGTGCAGGGGCACTGCTGGGAGCAGGGGGCACCATGGGGCAGCCACAGTCAGAGCTCATGGCCATCACCTCTGCCCCCATCACTTTGGTAAGGTCAGGGCCACACAGGCACATGCACACATTGCCACTGGCCTGGTTCTGAGTTATATGTGGCAGTGGCCTCTTGGCTGCCCCAAAGGTGCCACATACCGTCTGCCACCACTCTTCCTTCCCCCTTGCTGCCCAAAGGGCTCCAAGCACTTTTGAGAAAATGGCTCCTGGAGAAGCCACAGCCAATTAAAATAGCCAAGCCTTGAGCCATCCAGACAAAACCGCTTCCAGCCTGGCCAAGGCGGCTGCATCACCCCAGTTCAGCAGAGCATGCCCTGGGAATTGGGCATCATGCCCGGGATCTCCTCCTGCAGCCAGGCACCCGGCCTGGGGTACAGGGCAGGCTGGGAGCTCAGGCTATTTCCAGCCCCGTGTGCTGATGGGGGGGACACCCTGGAGAGCCAGCAGCACACACAAGGCCTGGCGTTGGCCCAGAGGGAGGCAGATGGATGGAGAACAGTGACCGGGGCACGCACACACCCTTTGGCTCTGCTCCTGCTCCTCTTCCCACAGGGCTGCTGGGTGTGAGGCCACACTGAGCTGGCCTGGACGCTGCAGGGAAGGTGCCAGTTCTGGGCCCCAGGGTGCTACAAGAGCAGATCTGGCAGCCCTGGTCTGCGGAGGGTAGGAAGTGTGTTTAGTAACTGTTTATTTTACAGTTTTAGGGCTTGTAGAAATCTGCATTTACAGGGAGTGTATAAGTCTTTGTACAGAGTAACTGAAGCACCCTGGTCTCCTCCCAGGCCCTTCTCCCCACCAGGGACAACGCAAGAACTAAAGTGCATCATGGCCAGGGAATGGAGGGGCTGCAGGGGCTCCTCCTGGGGGGCTCCAGCCATCCCCTTCTCCAGTGTGGTGTACAGAGCAGTCCTGGGCCCTCCAGCAACATTCCCAGGTCACCACACTCTCCTGCACCAATGGTTTCTAAAGTGCTAAGTGACCCAGCCCCCAGTCCTGCTTTGCTGCTCTGGGGGTGCCAAGGGACCAAGAATGGGCTCTGAAAGCCACACTGGGAGGAGCCCCCTGAGCAGCCCCAGGTCTCTCCAAGGCCACTGGCACCACTGAGGAGAGGAGGGAACAGGTTTTGCTGCCTGCCTGAACAAGGGCAGTTTCACACACTCCACATTTCACCTGCAGAGGCAAAGGGAACACCTGCTCAGAGCTTCATGGGAACACAAGTCAGAAATGAAAACTGCCCACCTGCCCTCTGGCCAGAAAGGCACAACCCTTCCATGAGCAAGGCATGGTGCAAACCAGAACACAACCAGGGCAGTAATGGACCAAGAAGGGTAGGAGTGGGGGGTGCTGAGCTTTGCAGGGCATGAGTTTTCTTCTCTAGCCCAAAATGCCTTCAACCAACACCTCCTTTTCAGGTGTGCAGACCCTGGGCATGGCACAGATGGCTTTGGGCACAAGAGAGCAATGATGGGGCAGCGGGAGGGACAGGTAAGGACACTTGAGGGAGATTTAGCAGCTTGGGGGAGAGGTAGAGGCATAGAGTGTCTATTGGCTCTGTCTCAGTGGGACACTGAGTTATCTATAAGGATTTGCTGCTTAGCTTGGAGGGCAGGGATGCTGGGACTGCCATTGGATTTGTTGGGGGGTTGGGGGTTTTGCGGGGGCCGGGTTGGCTTTTTTGGGAACCCCTTTTTTTTTTTTGCGGGGTTGTTGTTGAGGCTTGTTCGGTTCTTGGGGGGGGGTTTTGTCACATTTCCTAGTGCAACAACTTCTACCCTGTGCAAAGTGTTTCACAAGGTGGAAAAAGCCTTTCTCCATGTGGGCACGCTAATGTCCACTTCCAGAGCTATTAAAGAAGTCTGCAATGGATGTTTACAGTGCCACTAAGACTTGTGGTAGCATAACCTGGCACATGACAGTACACACCTTTGGCAGGGTGACCACACTTGTGTTCACTTCAGTGACCCCAGATATGGTCACAGTACTGCTAGGACAGCAGTGGCAGTGCCCGAGAGCTGAGGGGAGCTAAGGTCTGCTCCTGGCCTCTACAAACATATCACGCTGCAAAGATGTGGAAACAAAAAGAGCCAGGGAATGTTACACGCTGAAGAGAAGCTCACAGCATTGTGCTGACTGGGGTGTGGGAAAGGTTTGGCTCTGCTCAGAGGGTGTCCACAGGACAGGAAAGAGCTGGAGCACCAGCAAAGCTGAAGGCAGATCATGGGGCACACTGGAGCAATGAAGAGCCAAAGGTCTGCCCTGTTCCTCAGAAGTGCAACACTCTCCACCCTCACACACGCAAGCACCCAGAACAAACCCTGCTGGACACTCTCCTCCAGGCGAAGATCTGTTCTCACTCCCACTAGTTTTCCCCAGTGGAGAACACAGGATCCTTTGGGCACAGCCCACACTCAGCTCTCCCTCTGTATAGTCACCTGAGCACAGCTTTAACAGACAAATGTGTCCATACCTCTGGTTCCTCAGGAGATAGCAGGAGTACCTGTCTGCTCGCCCTTGCACAGGGAGAGGGGAACAAGGTGAGCATGGTGTGGGGAACCGTCTGGCTGGAAGGGTTCCCTCAGTCTCTGTCATAAAGGCCAAAAGTGTTACTGGATGCAGTAAGAATAATAAATAATCTTCAGACGGGTTGTTTCTGGACAGGTCCTTCATCAGCCATCAGCCCTTCCTGCTGGGGATGGGTGCAGTGACAGCAAAGGCCCTTCCTCCAGCTTCAGGGGAAAATCTGCAGCTGAAACTTGGGTGCCCACTCCAGTGCACTCTTCACCATAGCCAGGGCAGCTGCTCCCAGTGCCACCGTCAGCCCCATCACTGCCAGCTTGACAAAGCGGTTGGTCCGGGGTTTTGTCAAGATGGATTTTGTCCGCTCCTCCCCTTGGAGCCGCTCCTCCCCTCGCATCCGCTCTCTGAAGCGTTGCCTCAACACAGTGTCTGGTCTCTGCTGCACTGATGCCAACTCAAAGTCCTTAAAAGTGGAAGCCGCAGTTCTGCAAGAGAAGGAACAGGTCAAGGAGTGCCCCCCGCTCACCCCTGGGACCAGCTTCCTGTCAGGAAGGTCTCCACAGCGAGGCAAGACCTGGCAAGGGGATGCAGGGAACACGGGCTCCCAACACTCACCGTTCCGCCTGAGCTGCCTCCTTGGTGAGTTTGGAAGGCGGGAACTGGACAAAAATCTCCCCGGCTTTGCTGATCAGAGACTCATAAGGAAGATCCTGTGGGATCTGGCACAGGAGGTGGTGGACAGAGGCCATGTCACACTCGCAGTCCAGAACTTCCTGCTTCCGGTGCAGCACAATCTGCAGAGGAGTGAGAGGAGGACAGACAAGGAAGTCGAGACAACTCCTTGGCACATGATGGCACTTGTTTCAGAGCTAGAAGAAAAAAAACACTTTACTTCCATCTGAAAGACCTTCTTCAAGAGGATACACTTCAGTGAAACATTCACTGGAAAGAGAAATGCCAAACCTCTTCTGAGGCCATGGGAAGCCTCTTTTAGGGTACTTAGGTCTGTCTGCTCAGAAGAACCTGCTATTGGCAGGCCAGAGATGGGGGCAGAACCTCAGCAGGATTTGACTTCATGACTTGCTGCTTGCTTCATCCTCCTGCTATTGAAGGATGGGCAGGTGGATGCAGAGTGCAGGGCTATCCTCAGCCAGCCAGGCATGTGACCAGACGCAGGACCAGCACACGAAAGGAAATAAAAACATTGTGTCATGCTGCCTCCACAGCACTGAACTGGTACAGCCAGCACATTTGGACACCCTCAGGCTGCCCTGAGTTCCCACCTGCCCTTTATCATCACCAAGGACATCACTGACTGAAGCTGCAGAGCAGGGTACAGCTGGGGTCAGCACCAGCACTGGGTTTGCCAGCCTCCCTCTGCAGCCCCAAACTCCTACCACCTCAGAACAGAGCTGTTAATCCCTCACCATTCCATCAGTACCTACCACAGCTGCAAAATAAATGGGCATCAGTGGGTGGCAAGCCAGGAAGAAGTCATATAATCGCACAACGTGCCGGAAGTCAGATAAAACATGGCCAAACCAGGTGATCAGCCAGCTGAGAGCAAAGATGGTTCCCACCTCCGCACTACAGAGAGAAAGAGCCATGAGGTCAGCCTGGAAACAGGGATGAAATGCTCTCAAGCCAGCCCTGCGCTGCACAGCCATGCCTGGGGAACTAGAGCTGGCTGTCAGTGGAGCATTGAACCCCCCCAGAGCAGGAACTGCACCTCTGACAATAAAAAGCGTTTATCCCCTGTCCCAGCCCCTGTGGCAAAGTGCTGCCACTACTTGTGTCACATCCAGTGGGGCCACAGCACAGGCTACATGCTGCTTTCAGGGGACTCTGAATGTGTCCTGTGTAATGGCACTGTCTGGCTTGCTCGCCTGAGGACAACTGAAGTCCTGCAGCACAGACAAATGTTTGGGTTCCTTCCTACCCTGAGGGCTTACTAATTCTGGGAGTTTGCAATCAGGGTTGGTACCAAAGGACATTTTACCTGTGGAGAAACTACACAGCTGCCCAAAAAAGGGCTCTGAACTGACTCTTCCCATTTACCTTCATGCTTCTGATTTGATCTGTCCAGACACACCTATGTGTCCCTAATGCAAAATCTGGGAATTGAAACACGGATGAAAAATCAAACCCCCACAATTCCTATAAAGATAGATAGAGATGGTATGTTTATTGCAGTGCTGGATGCATGTGGGGATCATTCCCCTTCAAAGGACATGCAGGCCGCTGAGAACTCCTGATCCCTTTTTATTCTTCCTCACTAGTTTACATATGCATAGAATTTCACAATAGGTTAATGCATATTCATTCTGCTGATTTCAAGTTACACTTACAGCTCGTTACACTTGTAGCTAGTTTTTTATCAGAAAGTATGGAAAGAACTTCTGGGTCATTCTGCCCTGTCTGTTTCAAGGTTTGAGGAGTCTCTCTTATCTCTTCAGCTTGGAAATTCACATTCTTTCTCCTCAGCTGGGGCAGTTTTACTAGTGCTACAGTTATCAAACTAAACAGCATATTTTACTTATGCTAGCAAGCTCAAAGTGGCACATTTCACCTACACCCAAATGGATTTCTACCCTGTTAAATTTTCACTGTGTCTCAGAATTATCCCCAGAACTAACAGGCCCACCAGCCACACAAGTGGTCACATGAAGCAGTTGTAGCATTTGTAGAACACTGTCCCCAGATCCGCAGCCCTACCAATACAGACTGCAGACAAATGGGCTGAAGATGGCACCATGTAAAACCCCTCCAGATAGGCAGCAGAGGTTTGAGCCTGATCAGAAATGAGTGCCACATGCCTCTGGGGTGTCACCATCAGCTGTGGGACAGCTGTTGACTCCCTGAGGAAGCCATTGTGGGGATGTGCTGGTGAAAATGGCCTGTGAACAGTAACCTGAGACGGGCAGGGGAGAGCCAGGAGGCTCTAAGAGAACATTTGCATACCTCTTCATGAAGTCGTGCACCTCAGGGTTCACCTGGTCTATGATGAGCATCAGGTAATTTAAAATCTGCTTGGTATTATCCATCGTTGGGTACATAAAATCCCTGAGGAAAGATTTAAAATGAGCTTTGTCAAGCAACAACATCAGTGAGCTCTCCCTCTAGGGAGGCAGCAGAAGGTGAAGTACATGCAATAGCCCTTGCTGGCAGGGCTGCTTTAACCCCAGCCCCAAGGAATTCTGTCCTTTTGGAGCAGCCTCCTTCCAGCTTATCTGGAACACACAGGGCTGACCTGCACACAGAACCCAGGCCCAGACCATCATGCTGCTGTCAGCTGACACTTCTTATTTTGCTGCAGTGCACACAAGAACCATAAAGTCTTTCCAGTACCCAGAATCTGACTCCTGCCTGGGAGAGGAGAGATAATCCCTCTAAACCACACTCTCCAGCTGGAAGCTTGCTCTTATTTCAGTGCACAAACAGGAAAGACTCTTTATGTGGGGTACAGGACACTGGTAGTACAGACCACACTGCCCAGGCTATGAAAGGACAAGAGGGAGGCAGGTGCTGAGCCAGCCCACAGGAGAGGGAGAGGCCCTGACAGCCACACAATCATGGATAATGCATGTGCGTTGGCTTTTCCAACTTCAAGAGATGCTATAAATTAACTGACAGCCTTCAATTATCCCTTCCCCAGGGCACAGCTCCCTGCAAAGCCACATGCTGTTGTGTGGTCAGGCTGCTCTCATTCACCCTCAGGGTACAGGCATGACGGCTGCTGCTTTAACCCAAGGCTCTGCCTTCCCAGGTCCCCTTCCAGGCCAGCTCTACCTGCAGAGGTGTCCCCACAGCCTGAGGACATGCAGTTGGCTCCTCTCCTCCCACTGAGTACCTGAGATGATGTATTGAGAGCTTCTCCACCAGTGCTGTGGCCAGCCTGTCCCCCACGACCAGCAGGAAGGTGACCACGATGTCATGGTACCCCTGGTAGTAGTGCAGCTGGGGGTTGCGCTTGAGGACGTGGAGGATGATATCGATGAGCTCCTCCTGCAATCCTTCCCTCTGATCATCTGGCATCCCTGTGGGAACAGCAGAGATGGCACAGCTGTGTCACCTACCAGAGCCTGCTGTGGGAGCAAGGGTGACTGTGGGGTGCAAGGAGAGCACCTGTGCTTCTACTATCCTGCCTGATCCCATGGGATGTGGTGTGTAAGTAATGGGTAGTACAACTGGCAGAAAAAACTATCCAAAGCCCTAATGCTGTCTCCCAAAACTCTGCAGGACCAGGGGGATCTGCCAATTACTGAGAGGTTTAATCTTTAGATCTGCAGGACCCTTATCTGCAAGGAAGCCACTGTGGAGGACAGGAGCAGGGTTTACAGATGTTTGCACAGTGTTGCTGTGAAGAGAGAATTGTTTTACACATCCAGCACAGATGAGGACATTTTAGTAATTTTTAATTTCCCAGGAAATTTTCTCTAGGAAAAAAATCAACAGGACCCATTTTCACAGAAACTATGCCAACTGCATTAGACTGCGAGGCCTCCACCAGCACAACTTTATATCAATCCCCTGCTAAGAACACGTGTTTAGGGACAGGATGTCACAGGGAAAACATTGTTCCTGCCCTGCACAGCTGCAGCCAGTTACTGGCAGCCCTTGTCAACAGATAAAACACCCAAAGGCCAACCAGAGAGTCCCAGTGGAGATCCTGCAATGACAAAGTTCTCCTTTTCCTCTGCTTCACTAACGCAGCTAAAAATAGGCAGGAGGCTGCCATTCAAGGGCAAAAAAATCTGTAGGAGCAGAGCCTCCAGGAATCAGGCCTGCACACAGCAACCATGCCTGCAAGAATCAGAGTGAATAAAGTGTTTATACAAAATAAAAGTGGCAGAAGGGGGAGGCAGATTCTGGCCAGAAATAACGACTGCTCAACACAGAGAGCTGCTGGATTTAGCATTTTATAAATAACACAAGGCATCAGCCTCCCATCAGAACTAAACAACTGCAAAACATTTTGCTTCTACATGTTTTAGGTTCTGTTAAATTTGAACCTGATTTTGAGACTGTTTTATATCGGGGTTGTTCTAAGCACAGACAAATCTGCCTTCCTTGCCCCTGAGCTAGACCATGGACTAAAATAAACCAAAGCAAATGGCATGTTTCTCAAGCTTTCCATCTGTCCTAATCTCAACAGGTCATGGTGCAAAAGATCTATGCAGGATCCATCCTCTCTCTGCTGCAACTGTCTGCCAGTAGCAGCCTTCTGGTAGAAGGGCACAGTGGGGCAAGGGATGTGGTACGCTGGAGAAGCCACGTCAAAAACCATCTGTGCAGACAGCTGAAGGAAACTGATGGCTGTGGAAGGGCTTCACTGCAAGAAGCAGCTGCTTCATATTGAAAAGGTTTTCTAGAAGTCAGGCCCTTGGAGTAATAATGGAATGCCACCTTCTGCAGCCTCCCAGGGTTGTCTGTGCCAGCAGGAGCCCCACGGCATTGCTCTTGCCCCCACAGAGTGGGAAGAGCAGGATCCCACTCACCTGGTGGGAAGCGGCGCAGGGATCGCCGCACATCCAGTAACACTTGCTGGTAATCCTTATTGTCCTCTCGCAGCTCCTTCCCTGCTGAGAAAAAGAGGAACAGGAGTAACATGGAGCAGTGCAACGGTACTGGGAAGAGAGTGAGGTGAGGAGCTGGGAAGGTCCCTGCTGAATGTGGACATGAAGCTGCACACACCACCTACTCCACTGTATATCCTCTTTTCCATGTCACACCTCAGCCCTGTCCCTGCACTTTCACTGTCACACACTCTGACACTAACAGCAAATGAGACAATTATTTCTTTAGACAACACATGTTAAAATGCTTAAACTGACAGCAGCACTCCCAGCACTCCTAGAAACATCTCTGCTACACAGTTTTGCTGTGCAATTCAAAGTGTACTCAGCAGCAGCACTGGAGGAATGCTATGAAGGCCACAAAGACTCATTTATAAAATAGAAACAATTTAGAGGAAAATCTCACCCAGGGTTAGCTAAGAGTTAAAACAGGAAAGTTCAGTGAGCTAGCAAATTCCTTCTGTGGGATCATATAAAGTTAACATTGTCTTCCAGCAGCTCTGGTCACCTCACATCATCCTAATGCCAGTCGGCTCTTGACTGAGGTGGGGGGATGCACGTTTCCAAACAACCACAGAATCAGGAACAGCAACAAAATCTGTCCTGGGTGACTTTAAAGCTACAGGACCTACAGCTCCTGCTTTGCTAAGGTTTAAAAACCATGTGGGTATTTCACCAGGAAGATTGTTGTCCCTGTGCCTGTTCTGACTAAAAAAACATGTGTGCTTCACACAACAAACTGCTGCCTGGAAGAGACACATCAGGAGAATTTTGGCCACACCAGGGCTCAGCACAGCCACCTCTTCATGGGAGCAAAACAAATCAAGTCTGATTCTTTCTACTGCAGGTGAACTTACATATGTCAGCTAATGCTCAGGGCTACACTGACTGCATCCACAATGAACTGATTCCATGACTATCACTAAAGAAAACAACAAATGTTGTTTTTAGAAGTAATGTATTGTTTACATGCAACACAGTATTGGTGCTGCAGTAAGTCCCCTTTGTACATGAGCTTAGTGGGAAATGCAACACACATAGGTAAAAGGCAGGTCAGAAAGCATGTCCCTCCTCTAGGGACAAAGGTCACTGAGCCTTTCCTCCTGAGCAGCTGAGTCCAGGCTGTTCCATACCTGGAAGAGGGGGCAGGTTGTCTGTATTAACACTGAGCAGCTTTGGCCACACTTTGCACCGGATCTCGTCCGTGAGCAGCCCGCCCTTGCTGATCGCCATCCGCCTCAGCTTTGGCACGTCGATGGGGTCACTGTTCAGAGCCTGGTAAATCTCTGCCACTTTTCTTTTCTTCTTAGCATCAAAGTCTGCAAAAGGTCACAGAGATGTGAGCTGACAGGCGGTGCTAGCACACAGTGGGGGCTAGCAATAGCCACTCACAGCGATGTCACACAAGATGACACAGGACAGTCATCACACTGTCAGGACAGGGATGACTCATGTGGGGACCCCTCCAGCTGAGTGTCCCATTTCTGCAGGCTCAGCATTGGGAGCACCTCAAAGGGCACTTTCACTACTTCCCTATCCTGGGGGTCCCACTGTAGGAGGCAAACACTGCTCCTCCTGACACCGGAGCCACCAGCAGTGCCCAGATGGAGCCCTTGGCTCCTGTCCTTCCCAATGGCTCCATACAAGACAGCCCTGCAAAGCCCCATCCTGAAACTCTTTGCCCTCTGATGCAGCTGCCAGCTCAGATGTCAAGTGTTTCCTAAGACCAGGACTTAGGAAAGAGTTCAAAGAAAGGTTAGGAAAGTGTTCCCAAAACTGTGTTCCTACCGACTCCCAGGTGCAGCCGTCCTAGGAAGAAGCCTGAGAATTTCCACTGACAGCAACAGACACAAGAAAGGACATAATTATACCAGAGTTAAAGAATCATAAGAACATTGACTTGTCCTATAACAAACACAAACCTGCCAGCCATCAGTACACACACAGCTCAGCCAGTAGGAAATAATTCCTGCTGTTTTGAGGAGCACAGGACTCGGGGCAGGGAGGGGAGGGGGTAACACACAAAGCACACAGTGCTCGGGTTAGACACACTTACAGGACACCAGGGTGCTTCCCAGGGAGCGGAGAAGGGACACTACTTCACACCACATGGTGGAATTTGTCACCGCTGCCTCATGTGAGGAAAGAGAAAAGCAGCCGAGAGCCACTCGATATCCCACACTGGAGGAGTTCCCAGTAAGGAGTCTTTGCTGAGCAGCTGCAGGACTGGAGTGCAGGATGAGGCCACAAACACTGCCTTTCCCTAAAGGCTTTTCCCATAGATGCAACAATTCTTGGGATCCAAACAGGACTCGTTCTATAAGGGACGTGTCCAAATAGGATTTGGGGTGGGAGGAATTAAAAGGATTTCAGTGGAGAAACAGCTGTTTCCCAAGGCTGTGCCCTCCCGGCAGAGATAGGGGAGCTTGTTCCTCTGTCCACGTGGCACCTCAGCCACTGCCCCGGCCCTGCTCCTGCGCTCCTGGCTGGAAGTGCAGCTCTCAGCGAGGTCTGAAGGGAGCCGGCAGGCTGTTCACACACATGGACGCTAAGTAGGTCGAGCAGTGGATGCTGTTCCTTCTCAAAGACACTTTTAAAGTACTTCTTGGATCAAAACAAACTGTAACAGCCTACGACAAACTCCACCTCCCTTCGAATTCCAAGGTCCTGGTAACATTAAATCTCCTATCGCTCACACAGTGACTACAGTTTCTTTTATTTCCTTTCCGGCCTCTTGTGCAAGCAGAGTTATTTGCACAACAGAAGCCAGCTCTGCTCAGCCGGTTCCCTATTCCCAGCCAGTTCCCTACCCCCAGCTGTTCCTGATCCCCCGCCACACGCACGCACGGGGTGTCACATACCGATGCCTCGGGAAGGAGGAGACAAAGCCTACGGGAAAAAGAACTGTTCACACACAAAGAACTTAAGGAGTAGTGGGAAGGAAGCAGCACGTCTTTCGGGCTCCTCCTCTCAAACTTACTGAAAAAGACCGCAATATTTGCACTTTTCAAACACACGGGGGATAATAGGTGCGAGTGTTATCAAAACCAGTGCATTTCAAAAAATGTTTTATGCAACCACAAGACGTTAACTTGCGGGTTCACCCTAGGAAGAAGAGGCACAAACGCAAGGTGAGGGCGGTCTAAAACCGAGTTGAGTCCGCCGGTGCTTCTGCACCGCTGCAGGCTCCGGGCACCGACACACGGCCTCGCCAGGTCCGGCCAGCCCGGCGCTGCCGCAAAGCCCTCGGTGACTGCCGGGGACCGCCCTCGGGCCCGGCAGCATCAACCGCAGCCGGCTGCTTCCTGTGCGCCCGAGCCCGCGGCGGCCGCACACGCGCGGGGTGGGCCGGACCGTTCTCTCGGTCCCCGGGACCCCCGGACCCCCCGCCCGCTCCCGCCGGGGCGGCTCCGAGCGCAGCACCGGCCCCGCCCCGCCGCCAGGGGGCGCCGCCGCGCCCGCAGGGGGCGCTCCAGCCCCCGCCCCGTCAGCCGAACCACTGCCCCCCGCCCGCCGGGCCCGGCCCAGCCCGTACCGTGGCCGCCGAAGCCGTTGCGCGGCGGGCTCTGCCGGCCCATGTTCCCGGGCGCTGCGGCGCATTCCGGACACCGGACCGGACCGGGCCGGGGCTCCGCGCTCCCCGCGCCGTTCTGTCCCGTCCCGCCCCCGCCCGCTGCCCCCCGCCCGCCGGCGCGCGGGCGGGACGTCACGGCGCCGCAGTGCGCAGGCGCGGCGCCGCTAGGCGGTCACACGGGCGGAGGCGGCCGCGCATGCGCGAGCGGGGCCGCGCGGCCTGGACGCGCTCTGGCCGCCAGGGCCCGTTTAAAACCAGCAAAACCAATTCCCGAACCCTCCCCGATGGCCGCCGGACGGGGCATTCCCAGCGCTGGCGGGGCCGGGTAGCACACCCTCCATGGTGCTGCACGCAGTGGCTGCTGCCACCACTCAAAAAACCCCTCCAAACTCCCCCGTCAGTGCTTGGAGACAGCGCAGTGGGAGAACAAGTGCCCGGCCCGTCCATGAGGGCTTGTCACGTCCACAGAGCTCCTTCCATGCACAGGGGTCCGGGCTTCCTTGTGCAAGGGCTGACAGGCACGGGGGCCCTCCACCACTCCCGGTTTCCTCTTCCATTCTTCTCCTTCTGCAAACCTCCCTCGCTTGGAATAATGAAAGAACTGGGTAAAATGTCCTGCATAGCTCAGAACCAGTGCAAACAAGCTGTATTTTGTCATACTGGGTGCTTTTACGGTACAGCACATTGAGGTAACAGTCAACACAGTCCAACTTTCACATCACTTTAGGATATAAAAGATTAAGTACAATGGATTTCCACTGGATGAAGGCATGGAGGAGAAAGCTATCCTGTGCATGTGAAAAACCTCATCTCCCTGCTGGCAATCTCCATGTCCCATGTATCAGTTTAATCCAGCCCACCTGCTCTATCCTAAAATTAACTAAGCAACATGGAAGCACATGTCCATCCTCTCCAGAGAACAGACGAGGGATGGGTGCCTGGACAAGCAGGAGCTGCAGGCCAAGGCTTCAGCACCCACTGAGGAAGGCGAAAATCACTCAATGTCCACAGGAACAACTGCAATGGCTTTGGGATGAGAGGGCACTGTGAGGCACAGGTGCCATCGTGCCTGCAGCCACACCAGCTGAGCCAGCCTAGCATTAGGTGACTGAAAACAAGTCACAGAAATCCAGTGAGTTGCAACAGGCAAACAACTAATAATTGGTTCATCACCTCAATTCCCCACCATCATGGCTGAGACAGAAAAGGAGGGGTTTTGTTATGGCAAAAGATCCTTCTCCCAGGAGATACTTTGGCTTTGTGACATCTGTGTAAGGCTTCTCTGCACTGCTCCCCATGGGTGTGACAGGGACATGGCCTGCCCAGGGCACATGTGGCTGTCACCACTCCTGTGTCAGTGTATGACCACCCCAGGGAGGCCTCTACACAGGGAACTTAAATCTAACCTCGATAAATAAAACCAAATGTTTATTTACACCAAAGAATTCCAACACTGGATCTTTCACATATGAAGGACAAAGTATATATACACAGCAAGGGGTAGCAGGGCTGTAACAAGGGTGCTTTTCCGTTGTCAATGATAATATTTGTCCACAATTACTGATCTACCATTTCAGTTTAAGTTAACGTCTCCTGGCTCCTTCCTCTCAGTGCATATTTACAAGACTGTGAGGTAACTGGTATTCTCACCACATGGCACGTGAGGGAGGGGATGGTGGGTGAAGATGTGGGATCGGACTTGGCGCAGTCTGATTTTTCCAGCTTTAAGTAGCCACCAGCTCGAAACCTATAGAAACAATTTAAAAACAATATACCCAATAACAAATTAATTCCAGAGATCCAAGCCAAGCAATGGCTGGAAGAACCCTCCACGAGAAAGGGGCTGATCAGAGCAGGGCTTACTCTACAGAAGCACCTGTCTAAGGAGGTGCCAAGGACTCCAACTGGATCAGTAACTTCATTTTTAAGACTAAAATTACATGCAAGGGGTGAGTTAGCATTCTGGTTGACTCCTAAGGAGACATTATCCAATCCAATTAGAATTTTGGACACTATCTGCACTTACTCTTTTTAAGCTTATCCCACCTCTCCCTACTGGAATTGTCTCCTCAGTGTACCCTGGCTGGGACATATGCAGGACATGGGGTTCTAGTGAGTGGTACTTTAAGAATCCCCTCCCCTGCCTCATGAAGACTTGGTTTGGTAGTCTCTGGAGAACAGCACAATCCTCCAAGGCTTGTGGAGGAATAATGATGGGAACATGAAGAGAAGAGATTTCCAGCAGGATGCAAGAGCTTGGAAATGCTGTTGATTTCATCTTTGTTATTACATGAAGAGTTGTTTTGTTTTTTGTTTTTTTTTTTGGGGGGAGGGGTGGGGGGGAAAAGAAAAACTGTCCAAGAAGTATTCCATCTGTAGGTATTTTCAGGGAATCCCCTGAGTTACGAAAAGTTCAAGTAAAAAAAGAAAAATCAGCCTATAATAATTTTGTATATAATGACTGAACTACTATAAATCCACAAGCAACAGTTCAGACACGGTGTCTCCAAAGCGTTCATCCCCTCCCTTCCCCTGCCAGGCACAAGCTGCGTCCTGAGGAGAGGTGGAGGGGGAAACCTCTTCCCCACCTGACTCAGCTCAGGCAGCAGGAGACAGAGCCCGTCACTACTGCTGGGCGCCCGCAGCAGCTGGAACCGGCATCCCCAGGGTGGTGGTGGCAGAGATGACGGGTGAGCCTGCTAGAGGTCCAAGGGGTGAAGGTGTTGGCACTGAAGAAATCCCTGGAAGAGACACAGGTAAGCAGGAATTAGAGTAAAAACAGCGCACTGCTATCCAGGACAGCTTCTGAAGTCAAGTGGGAGCTTTGTGGGTCAGTTATGTTTTCAGAGCTGCCAAAATAATTAGAGATAAAGTATCTGTCACTGTTCTCTGTAGTTCTGGGAATGGCACAGATTTGCACACCCCTTTTTGTCATTGATGGGCAGAGATATGGCAGGATCACAGAATGGTTTGGGTTGAAAAGGTAACCCTAAAGCTTCTCTCGTTCCAATTCCCCTGCCATGGGCAGGGACACCTTCCACTAGACCACGTTGCCCCAAGCCCCGTTCAACCTGGTCCTTAAACAATTCCAGGGATCTGACAGCCACGACTTTTCTGGGTAGCCTGTGCCAGTGGACTGTCCTTTAAGCTGCTGCCAGAAAATCAACTGCAAAGAACTTCTTAAAATGAGACCAGAAAAACAGGTCAGGCTGCCCAAGGCCTTAGTTATCAGACCCTCCCACCCACTTTGTAGCTCTCCTTGCCCTTGTCCCCAGTCCTGGGAGATGATCCAACACTGCCCTGCCTGCTGAACCCTCCCTCCCGGGTCCTCCCACCCACCCCACACACTCAAATGCTTCAGCACACCAAGCACCAAGGGGAGTTGACAGAACTGACCTGACATCATGCTCGCACTGCTGACAGGAGTGCTGCCACCCGCCATGTTGGACGAGCCCATCCGAGCCTGGTCTTTCACAATGGGGTCTAGGAAGAGTACACTACCAGTAAGTGCTGCCAGAGACCTGCTGAGGCACACAGACTGCCTGTGCCTCTGCGCTCAGCCAGTCCTGGCACTCTGCCTGTGTCAAATAACATCAACCATCATCTATTGAAATACAGACATTTCCACCAACTCCAGTGGGAAGCACTCACGAAGGTACAAAGGTCACAGGATATCAGGGAAAAATCAGCTAAATGATGTCATGTGGGGTTCAGCAGGACTGTCTGACAGGAAATGACAAAGGACACTATGGCAAAGTTGATCTTTCTGTGCTAAGCAACTGTGTAATTGCAGAAAGCCAAACCCAGAATATGGGTGTAGCAAGCAGAAAGATTATCACTGATTATAATCATGTGTCATGTCTCTACACACATCTTACACCTCTGTGAGCTGTCAGGTGTGTCACTAGAACTTGTCTTCCATGAGATAACTTACTATTTATTTTCAGCTGCATGTAAATAAGGCTCTCACCTGAACAGGGACAACCCCTTACTGCCTCTCAGGCCTTCTGTGTCAGACAAGGGAATTCCAAACTTTGCTGAGCTCAGCACTACATGTATCTTCTTGTGGACACAACTTAATGAACTGTTTGTCCAGCTCTCACATTCCCAGATATTGGGTTCTCTAATGCTAATACTTGCATAACATTTCCCTGGGATTTTTCCAACAGGGGTAATACAGATCAAAACAGTCTGTTAATTACAGGGGTCCCTTCAGCAGCAGCTAAAAAAACCCCAAAGCCAAACCACCTGAGCAAATATTGACATTATGCATTGTTGCAGCTGCTTCAAACCCCTAGATATCAATAGCTGTGAAAAACAGCAACCATTTAAAAGCATTTACAGTGAAAGCAACATTTCTGCTTGCAAAATCAAGTCCTGAATATAGCAGCAGCTAAGCAATTTAGCAACAGGAGTAAAAACGCCCGTTTATCAACAAACCAGAGTTCTCTGGGTTTATCCAAACAGAGAAATCCATGCACACCTGCAGAAAGCAACCCCAAATTATGTGATTTAGGTGACTTTCCTTAATATTACTTGCTGATTCATGGGCCCAACACGGGCACCCAACACTGATTCCTTGGCTAGTGGAGGTGGCACACAGAGACCAGCAGACTCAGCTCCTGCACTATTATTTGCAGATCAGGCTTATCATTGTTGGTATTCTCAGTTCCCATCTGCACAAGGCATGGGAACAGAGATTTCCCAGAGGCAGAACTCTCAGGACAGCAGCTGATACTTACAGAAGTAGGGGTGTTCCATGGCTTCTCTCGCTGTGAGTCGTGACTGGTGATCATATCGCAGCAGCTTGTCTAAGAAATCCAGAGCTTCTGGACTCACCAGATGTTGGTTCTCACTGTGGACAAAGCGCTCCCATCGCTTACGGGAGTGTCTGCAGGAAAACAGACCCTAATCAGGCCAGCCAGGGGACAGTGATGTCAAACCTCACTTTCTTAAGGAGCAAGAACTGTCACAGATGTCCAGCCCTGAAGGAGTCCACTGCACTGTGCAGCAGCCACGGAACTGAGGCATTCCAGAACGGGAAGCAGTGTCACTGTGTCTCCACGCGGTGGCACAGCAGTCACAGCCCCAGCACAGCCACCTCTGCCACCACAGTCCCTGCACGGCCCTGCCATGACCCCAGACAGCAGCAGGACTAATGCTCAGAATGGATTATGGGCCTAAAATTGCAGGTTCTGTCATCTCTTATGCACCCAACATGAGTTCCTTTTGAGTCCCACTATGAGGAGAAAAAACCATATATATAAATCTTTAGCAGCACCTGATTTTCTGCACTATAATGCTGAGAAACACCATTTTGTTTTTTTCCCTCCAGACTGAACAGGGCATTTGCCCTTCATGCTTTCTGCTCCAGTAGTTCCTTTATGGCCTGAATGACATTTAAAAATCTTTCCTCAGGTCCATTTCCATATAAAGGACTATGGGAAGCACTGGCAAAAGGGACCAAATGCACAAAGTGTCAATTCTCCAGAATCCTGGCTCTGATTTCTTCCACAAACTTTTGTTCATTTCAAGGTTTGTTGACAAAGCTGTTAACTGTCCGGGTCTATAAAAGAGACTCCAGAACTTGGCTCACCTGCCCAAAATGTCATTGAAACGTGGATCCAGCTCAATGTTGTATTTGTCAATGTAGTCATACAGATCTTCTGTCCCCAGAACCTTGGCTATCCTCACCAGCTGGGAACAAACACAAAAACAAGTCACTGCTGTGAAGGTATGATAATACCAGAGCCTGCATGAAGATACAGCAGCACATTCCCACGGGAGCTGGAACCTGATCCCAGCAGTATGAATCAGAAGCCACAGGGTCAGCCTGTGGCTCTGGCTTCCCCAGCCACACATCAGGAACATGCCTCCACTTACAGCTGGAGCTCAGTACCCCAGGGCAGCCAGGAGGGAGCCACAGACCCTAAAATCTCTAAAACCTGAGACCTTGAAACACTGCCTTCCTTAGTAGCATGAAAATATTCAAAACCAACAGAAGGGAAGGCAAGAATAACTGGTCAAAAAAGCAGAAACTCTGGATCTTGCATGTGAAAGGTGAAGCACCGCTCCAGAGAGCTCCAGAAAAAATGCTTGAGAATAGAAGGTCCCTGTTCCAGAATATTTGCATGGCAGTCACATGCATGTGATAAAGGTTTAAAAGTAAAAAAATTTGGTCTGAAGGCAACACATCAAAGATTTCAGAATCTGTATAAACCTGTACTAAATTCACAGTTTCTATACAGATTTGGGGGGAGAGTGGGTAGTTACAGGGGCTTTCCACATAACATAACCTCAGGAATAGTCAAACTATGTACTAGAACACACCAGCCTTAATATAACTATTTCTACAGCTTTTCCCAGACACCTACTGAGGCGCTCCTAAGTACAAAGCTCTATAAATCCATTGCTATTTAATTGGTTACATAATCTTGCACACTTGAGAAAAGGACTGTGGCTTCAAACTGAGCTAAGAAGCCATTAGAGAAAGGCTTAAAAATTCTCTGAATGACTTGATAGAAGCCTAAGCAGGAAACCTTCATGGTGCTAAGAGAACAGACATTGTACATGACCAGCTCTCACCTGATCATAGTTGTCATGGCCATGGAAAAATGGCTCCTTTCGGAATATCATACTAGCCAACATGCAACCCAAGCTCCACATATCCAGACTGTAATCATACATCTGTACAAAACCAGAAGGACAATTCAATTTCTAATGAATTAAGCAGAACAGACCTCCAAATCTAACAGGGTTCCCCCCTCCCCAACAAGGCGATATGAACACAGCTATGTCATGCTGGAAACAAACTGAACTATCTTCATGTTTCTTCAACCCTAAACAACTGTTCAGCTCGGTGTTCCAGTTACTCAAACTGGGATACAGCAATTAGCAGGACAGCAGGTATCCTAATTCCATCCCTGTCTGCCAGGACATTAAAGATCAGAGCTTTCTTCTATTTTCACTGCAGACTCTAATGTTATAAACCACTGAGAAATGTGTTGGGAAAGGAAGCATTGCAACAAACAACAAAAGGTGTGGACTCCTCAGGGTCCATGAACAGGTAAAGATGTGCTTTTTTCCAGAACCAGCATGGTCTGAAAGTCACTGGGAACACTGTGATTTCCATACTGTAAACTGCCATCAGATAAGGGGATGCTTTTAAAGCTTAATTTAGAAGTTCATGCAGTACTTGCTGTTCCCACAGGGGCTTTGTTTCATTCCTGTACCTTACTGCAAACATAGCCTTGCTAAAAAAATATTTAACATTTGTATTCCAAGATCCATAATGATAGTTCTGCAGCTCTTCCTCAGGTCCTGAGACTACTCATTTGTTTCTTTCATTCACATGGCCACTGCTCTCTGCCATACATTTTGGAACAGACTGTGTTTAGCTTCATCTCTCTAGACGTATGAATTTTGGGTTTATTACCTTGAAATGGCACTGACTTTCCATATCAAAGTCAGTAAGAAGTCCTGGTAATTCTTACCTGATAATCTACAAGAAGTTCAGGTCCTTTGAAATATCTGGAAGCCACTCTGACATTGTACTCTTGGCCGGGGTGATAGAATTCAGCCAAACCCCAGTCTATTAGTCTAAGCTAAAAATGGTAGAAAACAAAGAAAAAAGGCTCAAGGGATGCTCCAGATTACCACTGGCTGAATGACACTGGTGAACTTAGTATGAAGTTAATTTATAAGTCTTCCATTTTCAATTAATTTTATCAGAGTGTCTGGTTACATATTCTCCCCAAACCCGTATCACCAAGCAGCCTAAATAAAATACCTCTCCTTACAACCCTGCCTCAAAAAGCAGCACAATATTCTCATTTTACATTTATCCATGCCATGAGAACAGAGTCCTCCTCAGAGAGGTCTGCTAGAACCTCTACACAGGAGCACCCAAAAGGGATCCCAATTTGCCAAGAGAAAAGCAGGACCCCTCCCTGCCCCCCAGCCACCCCACACTACCTTTCTGTGCTCATGGTCAATCATGACATTGTGAGGTTTGACATCTCTGTGCATGATTCCCATGCTATGGCAGTAATCTAGAGCCTGCAGGTGAAAGGAAACAGATGCTGGAGTCACAAGAATGTGTCAAATTAACAATATATTCAAAAGTATTTCCACACATATCAAGACTAAATAGATGACAGGACTGTCCAGTGTTAGATCTTGGACTAGACTCACTGATCACAGAAAATGCTGCTAGAGCCCCCTCTCAAAAGGAGGTACCAGCAACACAAGTGTCTTGACTTTGCTTTGTGTGCTTCCTCATAAAAATTGGAATTTCAGAGTCTCTAAGAGCATAGTTACTAGGCACTATTAATTCCACAAGCCCCCTTTCTCCTAAGGAGAAATTACTTAGTTCAGAAGAATGGATGAAGACATTTGACTCACATTACGCCTGAGCACAAACCCAGCCAGGAACAGCTCACAGTTTTCTTTTTTCAAAGGCTACATGTACTCCTGATTTAGGATTTTAAGGTATCTCAATGTACCAAAACACTGAAAAATAGACACTGACTTGATATTTTTCTGCCCAATTCTTCTATGGACTGACTCTTTCCTTCCCTTAGTGATACAATGTCACTATCATCAGTGACATGAGAACCATCTCTACAGGATTAGCTGACAGCAAATACTAGAAATAAACCAACAAAACAGCAAAACACCAACTTACCTTCAAAATCTCATACATGTAGAATCGAATATCATAATCTGTTAGTGTCTGGTATAATTGCTGTGGGACACAAACAAATCATGTCAGTGTTCAACATCCAAAAAAAACCCCTGTTCTGGGCTGCTGGTATTCTCCCAACCCATCTGAAGGTTTAGTCTAAGTTTCTCAAGTTACTCCGACCCCACACATGACTCTGATCAGTCAGTTCCTCTCCCTTTGCAAATCCCATACATAGTGACAGGAACCAGGATGTGCTGTCTGAGAAGAGCTGGAAGTAAACTATCTCCTTCTCGTTGTACCCACCCAGCACAAGCATGATGGATGGCATTGCACAGCCTTTCTTCTTCTGAGGCAGGTCAGTATGAAGGGACAAAGAAACATTTAAATCCCCATTCTCAGGAGTATGGAAGGCCACAGAAACAGCTGTCCACATTTAAAGTGGTTCCAATAAATAGTTGTATACATAAAAGCCAAATGCCTCAAAAAGACAGGCACTGATGGGCCACAAGATAACAGATTCATCTGCTTGCTCCCAAGGTTAAATACCTCTTGGAATCTGCATTCTCATCTTGCAACTTTTGTGGCAAAATGGTACTGGTGGGCTAGTTACAAACTTCTGTCCCAACTGCATTTACCTTTAAAAGCATTTCCTATGCTGGAAGGAAATGCCTACCCTATGTACTTTCCCTTCCCCAGAAAGAGAGTATGAGTGGTTTTCAAACACAAAAAAGAAGTCACATGCCACACTGTACCTTAAAGTCTGTGTTGTTTACATGTTCAAAAACCAGAGCGGGTGTTCGAGACTGAAACAGAAAAAAAAAAAGCAATCAGCCATGTTATGTTATGTTTCCACTTAGAATAATGAATTGCATCTTTTTTTCTACTAAAACTGCATAAATCCCTCTGCCTTGGACATATTTATGATTCCTCTCAGACAGAGAGAGCAGAGCCTCAGCCCAACAGCCTCCAGCAGCACTGTTTGCAGAGTGAATTAACTTGTCTCAGCTCACTGGTATCTCTTCCTCAAAGAGTGAGGGGCTCTGGAGGGACCTGTGGGGGAAGGGCCCTCTAAAATAAGTTTATCAGATTAAGAGCTGATCTGATCAGTCAATTCAAAAGCAGGATTTACGAGCAGGGGAAACAAAAAGCCAGGTCAGAGCTGAAATCAAACAGAGCAACTTCACCCATAACCCCCTTGAGTTTCTCTCTTACTCACCACAGGATCTTTTACTATATCTGCAAGGGTGATTATATTGGGACCGCCTCGCAAGTTCTCTAAGATCTTGATTTCACGCTTGATTTTCTTCTTTTTAACAGGCTGAAGAATAAAAACCCAAAGTGTAAGATAAAGCCCTGCAGTAAAGTGAGGCTAATAGCTCAACACCCAGATGACAACACCCAGGTGACTGCAGATCAGCAAAATATACTGAAACCTTTGCAATTTCACCCGAGTATGCATCATACCAGTAAAGGCTCAAGTATCTGCTGTCTCCTTTCTAACCACACAAGCCTAACAGCTACAGACAATAATTCCAAGTGGAAGAGAGGCAGGAAGATGGCATAATTTAAAAAAGCTCTCTGAACATAATCTGATAGATCAAGAGGAAATGGCCTCAAGTAATGCCAAGAAAAAGTTTCTTCACAGAAAGGGTTGTCAATCCCTGGAACAGGCTGCTCCAGTGGTGAGGACATCATTGTTGAATAGATTTAAAAGATGTAGATGTGGCACCTGAGGACATAAATGCTGGGGTGTTGGCTGGACTTGATGATCTTTGAGTGCTTTTCCAACCCGCATAGCTCTGTGATACTCCAAGACTTCTTAACTGGCATGTGGCAAATGTTTAACTATGAGAAGTCCATGGGCTATTGGAGGGTCACTAAATGAAGGCCATGACAGCCTGCCAGGACACCAGCATTTAGAGAAACTGAGAATTTTGTAGCCAGCTGCTGAAATGTTGCTTAGCTCCAAATAAAAAGGTGTGGAACATCAGGGTTTCTTTAAGACAGAGCTTAATTCCTTACAGGCAGAGATCTAACTTAAGTGCAGGGCTTATATCAGGAGGCTCAAAACGATGGCCTGTTTCACTGAGTAACGCTCCAAAGCCAGGCTTTAAGGATTTCAGTTTTAGAACATCAAAAAGCCCTTTCTGGCCTCCTGATCACCTCAAGACAGATTTTATCTTTTGCCCAATCCCCAGCTCACCTTGAGAATTTTAACAACTACTTTTTCATTATTTGTAATGTTGATGGCTTCAAATACTTCACTGTATTTGCCTCGGCCTAATTTTCGAACTAGCTGGTAGTCATCTTGATTTCTGTGGAGAGAAAAGGTTAGAGTTCCAAAGGGCTCATCATTTCCATCACAATTTATAAACTGCTCCTTAACACTCCATCGCTGCCTCACTTCACAGACAAAAGGAATTAAATAGTGCCTTCAGTCTCCTGAACTGGATGATTTAAGAAATAGAAGAGAAACAGGGAGCTTCTATTTGTCCAAGAGATTTAAGCCAAAAGTATGGATTGAAAGCCCAACTATGTATTTCAGCATTAGCAAACTCGAACTATCCCTTCTCTATATATTTGTAAGCTCCATTTTTCCTTGTATGCTGGTAAAATTCAACAAAGCCAGTATGAGGAAAAATCTAAGTGCAAGGCTGTTTAAAAACGGTCTGGGCACAAAGCAGCACTTATGCTCAGATGACTGTGTACATTCCAGAAAGTGGGAACTGCACAGCTGAGGGCAGAACTCTGTCTGGGCCCTCCATATCCCAGCAGGAATGCAGAGCTATGAAGCTGCCACCACTGCTGTCTGATTCTGGGACACTTTAGTCATGAGCTCAATTTAGACACCTCCTTCCTTCAAAGAGAAGCAGCCATGTCTTTCCAGACACTTGCAGAGAGCTGAGCAACAAGTCATAAAATAGTATGTACCTACGTAAGTCTGTGGAGTTTCTTCACTTATCCAAGTCAGCAGCAACTTCAGTTTGAAAGTCTTTTCATTTCTTTTCAGCCCTGCACTCAGGACTGTTTGGATTGTTTCAGAAATAGATTTTCTTCCCTCTGAAAGGGGATGTTTCTCGATTACCTGGCAAAACTTCTTCAAACTTTTAAGGAAGCTGCTATAAATGTTCTTCCACAACTGGGAATTTAGAAGTTTGATAAAAAACATTTTTCTGAAGAGAAGTTGTGATCCTTTCCCTTGCCATCTGCCAAGAAGCGTGAAAAAGCCTCACGCAGCACAGTTGCCTGAACTCCCCAAGTACCACTACTCAGGATCCACAGGGATTGATCCTGGTGCAGGGACATCCAGAAGCAGCCCAGACTTACCCCCACTCAACAACGTGAGACTCATAGTCCCAGTACTCCCGGGGTCTGTGTGTGTTTACATCCGTGTAAACTCTGGCCCTGCTCGGCACGGGTCCCGACATATCAGACAGCTTGGCAGGCGGAAGTGAGATGTGAAATCAGAGGCGACCTGGTCTGCAGTGCTGACAGAGGAGAAAGGCCTCAGATTCCTCCACCTGCAGACAGAACATAAACCAGAGGTTAAATTCTCAAGGTACTTCAAAAGTATTTAAGTTAATCATTAAAAGCTGCTGCAAAGGGGAGGCTGGAGCCTGCCCATCCACAAGCCTGGGATTTCTTGAAAGCCATTTGTCTGCTCTCCCTCACACAGGACTGGCCCCTAGCAAACCAACCCCCTGACCTGGTAATTTTCAGCACCTTGTTTCCAGCTGCTGGTTGTAGGGGTAACTTTCAAAAAAAAAAGAATGCCATGTGCTCTGTATCTGCAGACAGATCCCCTCTTTTTGACTCCAGACTGATTGCAGCCACAGGCTGCAATCTCACTCCCATCACAAGTCTTGGGCCATCCAATGTAACAAAACCAATTCTGCTGGGATGGAAACCAGCTTTAGTCATAACTTCCTACAGTCAAAACATTAAATCTGACTGCCCAAAAGACAGCAGCATCTGTATTGGATTATGATGATTGGATTATGATTCAAACATGAAAGAAATGCACTGCTGCAAGGGTCTAAAGATGTTCCTTTGCATTCTGCTTGCCCAAAGTACCTTCAATCCTTCCTCCTTCCAATGCAACTTTTGCAAAGCTTCTGGTAAGTTTTATCAGTATTGAGACTGGTCAAAACCACTCAAAAGAAATTTACTGTATGTCAGAGACAAACACTTATCTTTACCCTGTATGTCTGAATACTTTATCATCCAGATCTGAATATTCAGGACAGCGGTAACTCACTACAGTTTTGTATCAATATCATCCTACCCAAGGTAAATGTGGTGTCTTTACATGTCTTTAATTTTTCACAAGGGGAAGTTAACACCCTTTTAGATGTTTAAATAGAAGAGTCCCCTTAGCTTTCAAAATAACTTACAAGAAAGGGAGCTGTATTGGAGCAGGGAAGAGCATTGTTTGGTGTGCAGCAGCACGTGGCAGGGCCTTACAGCCCTGTGTATGTGCTCAAACAGTGGGCAACACTGTTATCTAAAATAATACACTTATTTGCTATGCCAAACTTATCCCTTCAGAGAAAACGGGCAATTGCCAGACTGCAGAAGTAAGTAACAGCCCCATTAATCACACATTAATGAGAAAGACCAAGAAATCTGCTCAGAGCAGTTCACTTAAGCTACTAGAACATGTTATAACAGAAGAAAATTCTAGAAGCAAAGTCCTGCTGTTTATTTGGGGTCTGCAGCACTCCTGTGAGGACCCAGCAAGATCCACTGGCTGTGAAGATGGCAGAGGACCTGGGGACACAGGTCTGACATCCCTCACTGCTTCCAGAGCCAGAAATGCATGCAAGGGCTCTCTGACATGAACAAAGCCTCCTCAGGTGGGACAGAGCTCAGCACTGGGATATTTTTTGACCTACTGACACGCAAATGGTGTTGGTGGCAGCTTCAGGTAGACAGGGTTGCAGTAGTCCAGTACACAAAAGGGCAAACAGGGGATACAGCATTATCTCAAAATCCACTATGGAAGGGTGACTGAGGCCTTAGACCAATAAGAGAAAGATGGGGCACTTCAGCCATGTGTCCTGCTAATGGAAGAATATGAAGCATTCCTCAAAATATAAGTCTATTCCTGGATAAAATGCTAGTTCTCTCACAAAATACAATTTCAGAAGATGAGGCAGCAATCATCTACAACCTCAAAGCATTTATGTGGCATGACTCAGACACTTAGAAATTAGATGTCCCCAGGCATTACTAGAGCATGTAAGTTTACTAGAACAGTTTAGCATTGTGAAATGTATTAGAATTCAAAGTTCAATCACTGTGTTTGTGTTTCTTCTCACTCCCTGGGCTTCTGGCAGGAGATGCACTGGCCCATTTCCTCTGCCCAATTTCCTTGTGAAGGAATTAATTGAACTTATACATGTCTCAAATGACTTAGCAATTTTAATTTTTAAGCACAATCTAGTATAAATAAAGCACACATGACTGTTCCCCTCACCCAGCTTAGAAAGATCAGTTTCAGCACAAAAAAAACAACAACAAAAAAAAATCAATCACATTATCTAAAGATAGATCAAATTTCACAGTGGCTATTTTTTGTCACGTAGCTCTAGCCTAGCTCAAGCAGCACATTGTAACAGGCTGCTCAGAGAAGGGCTTTTTCAGGAAATCATCAACTGCAGCTTCTAAGAATGGCACACAATGTCTATTTACGAGGGTAGGTATTATTGTCTACTATTCTTTACACAGGAAGGGGAGAGAATCTGCACAGATAACTGAATTTTAAAGCAAACAGAGTCACAGGCATACACAAACTTACCCTGCCTGAAAGCTGCTCACTCTCTGCTCAAAACTGCCAAGGAATTTGTATAGATTTTTGGCTTCAGTGCCCCTGGAGGGGGATTATTTTGCAGTGGATCCAAGCTCTTTGGCAGAAGGGAATGACACAAATAAGGACAGATAATGGGAACAGGTGTTGACATACAAACATCGGTCGAGCCTGCAGTTTTAAAGCAGAAAAATCTACAATATGAGCAGCAATTGCACCTAGAAAAGTGCCCTGAGCTTGTTATAAAATATTAGTTCTGTTTCTGCAGAATCCAAACAGAATGTTGTCATTTATTAATTCCTGCACTGATGACAGAATCATAGAATAATTTACTTTGGGAGAGTCTGCTCAACATCATCTAATCAAAGTAGATGTGGTGAGATCAGGGTCCGGTGTAGCCTTGAGCATCTCCAGAAACAACATTAAAATTTTAATTTCTCTGGTAGAGAAGTGTTTAACTAGGAAACAAACATGAGCTTTTAGGCAATGTACCAGAGGTCACAAAGAGAGGAAGACAAAACTCCCAAGCACAGTCTGACATGCTGTTCACTGCCAATGCCTGCCTGTGCAAGGACACAGAGCAGGGCTTCTCAATCAATCCCTGTGGTGACACCCCTTGGACAGATATCACCCAAAAGGGCTCACATGACAGCTACAGCTACACCATGCCAAAGTTTCACTGTTGGCTTCTCCCATACAGGCCTGTCCTCAAAAATGCCGTTGGAGTATTAACAAACTGATAATTAGCTGATTTCTTACACAGCAGCTTTATCAAGAGGAACCCTGCTCATCCCAGACAAGAACAGAGCCAAACACAGCTCCTGTCCAGCTGACAGACTCCAGGGGAGTACCCAGAGACAAATAATTGTGCTGCCACCATATAGGAATTTTTTAATTGGAAGGCCTACTAATTAAAGAATATCAGTTCTTAAAAGTTTGAATTCTTCTAACAGTAGCCTGTTGTCTGAACAGTTTGGCAAGCTTAGACATTTTGTGCCTAAAGTTCAACAAAATGGTAAAAAGATGCTTAATGTTCTCTTTGACTCTGATTTTTAAAACATTTTAATCTAAACCAGTTACAAACCCCCTCAATTTTAAAAAGGGATGTTACCATCCTTACAAATGCACTCTAATTCTAAGGGCAACCATGCCCCCATAGGGAATTCAATATTTTGTGAAGGATCCATACTCCCAGCACTACTCAAATTAGTACAGGAATTTCCTACACCCTCTGTCCTTCCAGATGCATACACTCAGAGCAAGTAGCAACAAAACACAGCTAAAAAAATCCATGCAGATTAGTTTCTGAGAAACACACCTACTTCGCCTCTAGTAAAATTTGCCTTTTTTTTTTTTTTTTGGTCCAGAATAACTGAGATACCAGAATGATTTTTTTCTCTTTTTAAATGGAAATGTTCTTGGCATGGAACCTCTCTCAAGCAGTTACTCATTCAGAACTTAAAACCTATGAAGTTGCCCCAGTATGATCCAGCACTTACAGAGGCTCCCAGTGAGCTGAAAGCCGAGAGCTTCTCAGAAGACTGAGTCCAAAGGAACTCACAAGTGCTATCCAAGTGATGACCTTTGTGGATAAGGTTTGGAGTATAAATAATGTACCCAAGAACACAAACACCGCTTGACACTGGCTTCCCTGTGGATTGCTGTTAACAGCATGCCTTGCCCTCAGTGTGAACACTATACTGCCAGGAAGATCCAAGTTCATCCACAGAGAATGGAGTGAACCCAGGAAACCATGTTCAACACCACATAAACCTGGTTATTCCCGATGACCCACCTGAACTCTGCTTCAGTGAGCCCGCAGCAGTCCCAAAGGAGTGAAACAGGCCCTGAACTGCAGCAAGCTGAACTTGAAGAGCCAAGAAAACATTTCCGTAGCTTTACAAATTCCAGACGAGCTCACCTTCCTCTTGAGGAGAAAGCAAAGTGGACAGATTGGCCAAACAGGTCTAGAGACTTTCCTCTCACTTCTACTTTCCCCATGTAAGCTCATTACAGTGGCGATTGTGCCAGCCTAAGACTGTAAACAGGCTGAGACAGCAGCGGGTTTGTTGTGAGAGAAGAAAAGCTCTGTCAGTGGAGAAGAGCAGAATTACAGTGCAGAGTCTGGAACCGAAAGGTTATTCTCCTTCTTTTATCTACAACTGCAAGCAAGATGTTACCTTTCATAGCAGAAAGCTTAAACCAGCCTTTAAAATCAAGAGTGTAAAATGTGATTTGGTAGGGTGAGCAAGAATTACAATTATCAGATAAAATTGTTGATGATTTCCTTCACATAGCCCTGTAATGCTCTCAGGGAAGTGCACTTGCTCCTTCAGAGTTTGGAGAATATCTAATACTGGAGAAACAATGAAATTAAAAATCAAGACATGCCTAAATATTACAGTACTGCTTGCTGACAGTCAACATCAATCAACACCCAGCTTACTTTTAAAAGAAATAATAGTAACAAACTTCATTTAAAAATATGCTCTATTTCACAAAATAAACCTTTTTTGTGTGTTCTCATGATGCTGAAACTTCAGCAATACAAGTAGGGAACAAATGACCTCCAGAAGTCCCTTGCAACCTATATTTTTCTGTGATTTTACAGCTAAAATAGAAGCAAGCCTGGATTAACAAAATTGACATTTTATATCCTTTCTTTAAGATAATTTCCCTTCTAAAGGGACAACATTGACAGAAAAGTAGATT